TCCCTGCCGAGCAGGGAGCCCGATGCGGGACTCGATCCAGGGACTCCAGGATCATGACCTGAGCCGAAGGCAGTTGCTTAACCAACTGAGCCACCCAGGCACCCAAAAGAACTCGTAATTCTTACATCCACCTCGCAAGGTGAATAGACCAGCATGGTGCTGGGCACTGTGCATGCCTGAGCCAATTTCACTGGTGAATATCCTCATTTTACCCATGAGACAAAAGCTAAGAAGTGATGAGTGACCCACCCAAAGCGGAGAAGTGGTCGGGTCTTATTCTTGGGTCTGTCTTGTTCTTCTGGCTATGGGCTCCTTTCACATTCTTTACAGTTTGACAACTTTAAAAATAAATAACATCACACTCAAATTGAATAATCTGAAAATTTATAATTCTCAAAGGGAACAGATAACTCAAGGCAATATGTAACTGCTTCAACACTTGAAAATGATTCTACTAGACACTTCTGAAAATGATCTTTAAAGCTTCATATTCTCATGGCTTGGTTCATGTTTTTATGCTAAACATAACCATTCTGGATCCTTTCTCCATGGGTTGGAATCCTCAAACAATTGTGGTCCTGGTGAATCCACAGTGAGGTAATAAATTGTAAGGATCTGGGAGTTGTTGTTTTCTTGATATTTAAGGAATACTTAGCCTTGATACATTGGACATATCTCCCTCATACTTCCTTAACTAATTTAATGATTTAAAAGTTTTAAGAAACGTCCTAAAATGTTGGTTTCATAGTAAATAGGCAATCGGAGAAGGCTTGGATTAATAAAATGAAGGAAGTGGGATGACCTGGACAATGAATTTCTCATTTCTGACCTGTTTCCATATCTTGAAGTTCTTAGGATCTAGTTTTTAATCTATACTGCTTTTTATAGTGAATGCTTCCATTGGTGACAACCAGAGAAGCAAATACATACTTAGTTTACTTGTTTGACTAAAAGCAAAATAAATACTAATATAAAAATGTGTTTGTACTGTTATACTTTATATAATTGTGATTATCCATCTATTTATTTCTGTGTAGACAAAATAATTCATACTTTTAAAGTCTAATCTAATAAACTTTTTATGAGAAAAGGAATAAAATAGGGGTAGTTATTGAGATAAATAACATACCTAATTTTCCAAATTTTAACCCTTAAAAAAAACTTCTCTTGGGCTACAAATGTATCCTTCTGCCTTTAGTGTATAGACAAATTGTCCCTTTAAGATGTACTTAAACGTATGAAGTCTTATATTTCAGTTTTGACTTACAAATATCATAAGACATAACTTTTTAGTTTAAGATAAAAACCATCCCCCAAAACATACCCAAACCTTCAATATCCAAGAACAGGCTAACGTCACTATTCTGTAAACTCACAGCACTAAGATTTCCCAAGAGCATGGATCAACTTTTTTTTTTTTTTTAACTCTTTGGTAAGCTTATTTATACGAAGTTTTGCAGATATATAAACGTTAAGCTCTTTTTAAGCCATGTATCTTATATCCAGTGGAAACAATATCATGATGATGTTAGGACTGTCTCAGGCAATCTGGGATTCATAGAATCCTATTTTAGGGCAAAATAAACCTCAAAGAATTATGGGCTAAGTCACCCCTATTTCCTTCAATTAGAGATTTCATTATAATTCCCCTATTTCTGCAGGTCCAAACCCCACCGGACTCAGTGTATACCTCAGGTTGCTGACCTCCTAAAAAATTTCTTGAAATGGCCAGCTGGAAGCCAGTTCTCCCTTCTATGGATCCCCACAGAGGTCTCTTTCTCCCTTAAGGCACATGTTCCTTCCTGTCTAGTATTATAGTTATTTGCTGACGTGCTGTATTTCCCCTCCCAGATAGCGAGCTCAAGGATGCCATCTTGAATCACATTCATGTCTTCTGTGATCGGTTAACGTACACACAGTGGGTTCTCAGGAGTATTGAGTGTGTACTCAATAATTTCTGTTAGCCATGACAAACTGTCAGAGAGAATGAAAAACCTATTAAGAAGTATTTTAGGAAACCCTTGGTCAAGAAAGAAAGCCACAAGAGTAGAAAATTCTTCGAGAGGAGAAGCAGAGTAACTGGCACATAAAAGTGACACATTCAATCTCTTCACCTTTATATAACCTCCAGAAGATCAAATGTTAATAAAATATTTATCTTCAGTTGTCACAAGCCAGACTTTGATTTAAAACTCTTGGGTACATGAATGTCATGCCAGACCCAAAATACATTGTCATGTATTTTTAATTTAAACATGGATCTGTGAAAAATTTATGTATGCCTGATATAAAAAAAAAAGTGGGTGAAAATATCCCAGTAGTCACCACAAACAAGAAAACAGGACCTAGAAACGACTGGAACTCCTCTACAAGTACCACAGAAAACCTTCCATTGGGAAACCCAGACGTGACACGGGAAACGCATCCCCTTACCTTGAGGGAATCAAAGCAGGCAATGACTCTTCCATTCTCCACCTGGCAGCTCTTGGGGGGGTGAGCAAATTTGCACTCCTCATCGGAGCGGGAGCAGGTACCCCTCTGGAACTGCCTGCAGACCTCTAATGTCAGCCATTTTGTGTCTCTGACGGGGGCCACGTTCAAGGCCATGGTGCTCAGGCGCCGGGGATTCTGTTCGTTTCCGTCAAATGATGAAATCAATCCAGGTCCCAGTGATTCTGAAACTACTGTTGTGAAAAACCCCACATGTGCGTGTGAAGGTAAGTGATAGATTGCCTAGTGAAGTCCAATCCAGGAAGCAGTGAGGAGAGGATTTATCGGCAGGCAGTCACTCATCAATCAATATGCCCCCCTTGAAGACTGCAGGCCACAGCAGAAGCACGCTCAGTGTCATCTCTGGCTGTAAACGTCCGAGTCTCTTGACCGATCTGCAGACACAACCGTTTTTAATAAAGTGACTTCAAGATCATGGCACTCCTTGGGAGAATATTCAGTTGACGCTCACAGCTATTGATGGTGCTGGAAAATAAGTCACCGAGATGCTCAGATCTTGGCAGGATTTCTCTTTCCTCCCAGCCTTCCTAAATGCTGAAACTGAGCAATTGGCAAAGTCAGACCATTGAGGTATCTTCATCCACTGTAAGGTCAGGGTAACGTGTATTTGACGGAAGAATGATTTGAACACCACAAGAGCCCAGGCTGCAGTTTCCAGCAAAAGTAACTTCGCACAGGCACTTTGAAATCATGAACCTGCAGGACACAAAGAAAACATCAACTTACACCCAAACTCGCTGGAATCAACGCTCTGACAAACTGTTTCAGCTCTTAACTAGAATTTGCGAAAGTGCAGTTTCGAGCTTCAAGCTTAGAGGCTAGTGAGGAAAGTTATGCATTAGAGAGAGAGAGAGAGAGAGAGAATACACAACTGCAACCGGATTGCAGAAATGATCTAGGCAGCAGTCCAAAAGTTAGGAATGACTCAAACACATGAGTGTGGCAGACACAATAATTAGGCATTCCGAAACAATCCCATCTAATGTGCCTCATCGCCAAAACAGTGTATGAGAACCGTGGCTTCCGATTAATTTCACATTTAGGCCATTGATTTTACTGTTGGAAATGCTATCAACAATCATTCGGGTTGTGTCTCTCCTATACAATAAGGGTATTGGCCTTTTGGATGAAGCATGAGCCTCTTATTCTTTGCATCCTTTCCAGTTCACAGAGATTTGAACTTAGAAATGGATAGGTAGAAGCTTCCTAATATTTATTTTTAGGTCTCTTAGGCTTCCTCTCTACTGTTCCTATTTGCTTCATGTTAGAATTCCCCTCTATGCTGTAAGCGCTCGGAGGGTAAGGACTATTTGTATTTGTCATTTCTGTGTCCCTGGTGCCTTAGTTCATGGCCATTAGGTCCTCAAAAAATATTTACTGACCGATTTCACTGATGACCGCCTCACTGACTCAAGGGATGAATGCAAGTTAGTTTTAGTTTAGTTCGGTTTAGGTTTTAATGGAGTCGCGGTCTGCCCCATTCCGGGGAATGCCGGAGTTAAATCACATACCTACAACAAAAATATAATTAGTAAATTCAGATTTCTAAAATCATCATATTTAGTTGCTTTTAATGTTTTCAAGGATTATGGAGTCATTAAAATATTAGAAATTTCCCATTGCTGGGTCCAGGATGAATAAAGGACTGAATATCAGACGCTGATCATTTTCACAGATTGTATGTGCTACAAGCCACATCCACCGCATGCCTAGCCTTGATGTCCTTCTAAAAAAATTTTAAATAAGAACTTAATGGAAACTGGAAGTCGATTATTTAAAATCAGCATGTACAAATAAGTTCAGACACTAATAATTTTTGCATGGCTCACAAATGTTCCCCTCATGGTAGCTAAGTTTCGTTAACTCCAGGTAAACCGGGCCGAACAGGCTTCCTTGCCATAGGGTTTGGTTTGGTTTTGTTTTGTTTTTGTCTGCTCTTGAGTGAGTCTCTAATAGGGGAAGAGAAACAATGGTGTCTCTCAAGCTTATCTGATCATGGAACATTTATTCAGCAGGACACCTCTTGGGACTAGGAGGAAATGCTACTTCATCCCAGTACTTCTTTTACTTGTTAGTAGAAGTGTTTGAATGAGTAATAATTGTATGTGCATGTAAGGAATCTGGCCACCTTGAGAGAACATACCTAACTCCGACTGTAAAATATTTGAGGGGACAGGCAGGCTCCTGCTTGTCTGTTTGGCAGCATTGTCTTCCCAGCAGCTAACATCAGCTCGCTTAACTAGGCAGTTCAAGAAGATGAGTTTAATAACCAAATTTACTCTGGGTCAGGTTTCGCAGACCAGCCTGGACCTGCATCCTCATTACCTCAACCCCCATCTCTAACCCCAGTGGAGAACAAAGGATGAGGGAAACAAGGGACAAGAAAACATTCCTGCCTGTGTACCCAGTGGAGCCAAGACACTAATAATGAGGTTTCAAATGATAGGTTGGTCGCATCCAGTTTAGATTTACACAATATTTCATAGAGTCCCTGAGTCCTGTGGACCAGGGTCTGATGGGATGACAGGACAAAAAAGATGCAGGAGAAGCTCATCCTCCAAGGCAGCACCACCTTGGCCATGGCTTCACGTGCAGGAAAAGAAACAGGCAAACAGTATTTATGCACAGACGGTAAATGAGTAATTACTCAAGTATTCCTAAAACCCACGCAGGAACAATGCTCTCAGCCCAGTCCGGTGATTGGGGTACCCATTTGCTTATACTTTTGGGCAAGAAATCATTATTTTCCTGGGAGAAACAGATTGCCATTTCTAGTTACTATGAAAATCCAACCAGAATCTAGCTGGTCAGACTTTAGGGAGACGAACTTGCTTTTTTTTTTTTTTTTAAGATTTTATTTATTT